AAGCATTCGCAAACTGGCGGAACCATTTAAAGGTACTATGTCCAATTTGCAGGCCAAAACAAAATAAAAAATGAAAAGATTAAATTCCAACGGCATTTGAAAGATAATACTAATTTAGAATTTCCCTAAAAAAAAAGGTGCTTGAAAATGTCTTAAACTGGGAAAATAACGAGTATTAGTTGTCGAATCGACTTAAGAGCAATAGAGCCAGTAAGTAATAGTCTGATTTTCAGACCATTGTTCTGAATGGTCGTACGTCTTATGCTGCGCAACTGAGATTCAATAAGTTTAATTTTGGCCATTACAAGAAGTGGGTTATTGATGTAGACAAATGCTCATGTACCCTTTACAGCTCGTTTTATGTATGTTATTACCAAAGAAGAAAAAAGGCCAGGCATGTCACTCAATAGTGTCTAATAGTGAGGTCTAGCAAGTAAACGGGTTTCCTTGCATAATTTGAATATTAGGACAATGCTAACGTTTAAATCGCACATATGGGACATGCATGACATATTCATAATTCCTGCAAAGTTTTACAGAATTTGATGTTGGCTGCAAAAGGGACATAGTATCTTTAACACCCATGTTATGTCATCAGTTCAGATTATTTTGTACTGTAATGAACTGCGATGTATATTCTTAATTATATCGGTAATGTACTCTGTATTGCAACTTGCATCAGATAACATTATAGTTACATTTGTCATATATACTCTCAGCGCCTTAATACAAGTTATAATACAAATTAATTGGTATCCTCGTGAAATAACTGATCATTCAAGAAATATCCTTGACCATTTCAAAGAAATATGTGAATGGATTTATCATTATGATTATATAGCATACATCTTAGAGATCAGTTTAACACGTACACATCATCCTGTAACTCTGTCAGCCAAGGATGACTCATAATGGTCAAGCAAAATCTATGAATATTATCATCTAGCTACTAGTATTCCGCGACATAAAAAAGTCGAGTATTATAACGGTCTAGTCATCATTGCATTATTCAAAAGAGAATATATAATATCCCTTGGCATCTCGAGATGAGGAAGAGTATTCAACCCAGTCACGTGACCTCAATCTCAAGATGTATTTCAAGTTGGCAGTCACGTCCGTCGCCATTCGTTTACATAATACGGCGCGTTCACACAGCATCATAACCAGGGCTGATCATAACAGAACTCAATAAGCCAGTTCACGGTTGCAGTCTGAGCATGAGCAGATAAAGGTCATTGCAGAACAAATTTTGAAATTAACGGAGACGAAATACTGGATTCGTGCTCATGAAAGTTATGTAACATTATACATTCATGCACATTCAGTGCACTCCATGATACACAGGTGGAAGTATTCTTTGAAAAGGGGAAACAAAGGCTATTTCTATATAGCACCTCCATCGCTGTAGGAGTGATTATTTCAAAATGTACAAAGTGGGACCTCTTCATGGTTTTAAGATCTGTGGATATTCGGGGTCATTGCAGTAATGTGCTAACCGTGAACTGGTCTATTGTAAACATTTGTATATTCTATCGGTATCATTTTACAATTTGACGGGAAATGGAGAACCAATCCTTAAAATCTGGATTATCTTCACAACTATTAATCTTGTTCTGTAGACGTTGAAGCCCAAAGCAATGGATAAGTAGGGATAGGTTGCCTTTGCATTTCCTGATGTTTGATTAATTGAATTCCATACTTTCAAGTTCTCAATCTTTTATTTTGTGTATTTTAAGTGTCACAGTTTATGTAAACCAATGATATTGTATGCTTTTTCATTTTGTTTGAATATTTTATATTTGATTTTTAAATAAACGCAGAAATAGATATGCTATAAAAAGGGAGAGAAATTGAAATGAATCAACAATACGTTAAATAAGAACAAGTAGAATGAAAACATTAACATTTGTATTATCGAATTAGAAATAAAGAATTATAAATATTAGTACACTAAACAAAGACTCATTAAACCCACGTCTTTAAGGAAATAAAGCCCGGCAAATAATATTATAGTACGAGTAAATGTCAGAGTAGACACGATTGGGCTAAGATATAATTCCGTGTGTGAACAGACCTTGTTTTTAGATACAAAACGAAATCGGAAACCATGCACTTGTTCTCTCTAGGCAGACTTAACTAGCTTAGAGCCAGACTGAAGGGTTCGCGAAGGATTAAGCGACAAACATGCATTGATGTGTATTGGATTGCATCATCTACTCTTTGAAGGGTTGTGAACTCAGGAGTGAGTTGCCAATTTGTCTTGTGATTTTCAAAGTTGTTCATGTCATTACAAATTCAATACTTTTTTCATTACTTCTCCGATTTTGCTCAATTTTTTTTTGATAGGTTTGTCTGATTTTTCTGCTTAATATATTGAAAGCAATGAAAAGAAAGACGGTCTTCAGTTTCCCTGTGCAGCCGAGGTCATAATTCTTTGACACCATACTTGGTGGAACTGGAAATACCATGAATGTGTGTACGAGTATATGCACACAGTAAACCCGTAGGCCTATCAATTTATACCCCCCCCCCCAGTCTATCGGAAACTCTTTGATTGGTGGTAATGTAAGATAGAGAATTTTCCATGTGGGATGATTGGAGGTAAATGCAGAGCACTACATAAAGCATGTTGGTCATGCAATTGAAGATTATACAATTCTGGTGATTGAAAGCACTTGTTTTTCAACTCATACAAATGAACAATTCTGTTCGGGGAAGATATCAAATTCATCTTTAGAATAAATCATTGTATACAGTGATTCCATGAAAAGAAATTTGGGAAATATCATTGATTTTCTGTAAATACGAACCGACTCTTGAATATTAACTAACTAGCAGCTGCGATTCCATAAATTTGATATTTTGTGGGGCCGGGGGGGGGGGGGGGGAGCTTGGAAGATCTCTCACACATTAACTACATGTTCCTCGCTTTAAGTCATACGAAACCAATACTTGTTTCGGGTGAAGGGGTAATTGAGGTTCCAAGACCCCCCCCCCCCCCCCCCCTCGAACCGCTACTGGTAAACAGAGTGAAATTCTAAGGATTCGAAACTTCACTTTTGGATGGCGCTGTGAGGAGATGATTGTGACGTCACTGGGAATACAGGAAGTGGCCATGTTGAATACAAATGACTTGTATTTTATAACTGGCATTCTCTGCGTACCTTAACATTCTAATCACGTCCGATCCGATGTGTTTACTCATAAGACGAACAGATACAAATTCAGCAGGGAGGGGGGGGGGGGGGGGGGGGAGGGGCTGGTGTTTACGTTTCTTGCCCAATATCAAGATTTAGTTAAGACATTTTGCGATTATACTGAGCAAAGAATGGCTCAATGAAATTGCGATATAAAGTATATGAATGGGAATGAAATAGGAATAGAAAGTGGGATAAGATTGGGGATTGGGGGGGGGGGGCAGTAGTGGATCCAGGGGGAGGGGGGGGGGGCCCGCCCCCCCCCCCCCCCCTTGAGAAAAAAAATCATGTAAAAACATGTGATTTTTACCTTTTTGGGGGGTGCAAACTTTTAAATTTCAAGGACAAAAAAAAAATGTGCTCCCTACCCCTCCCCAAATTTTCGGGAGCACAAAAAAAAAAAAAAAAAAAAAAATAGTGCTAACCACTACCCCCCCCCCCCCCCCGAAACTAAGAACATCATCCAGTCAACCATTACAGTCCAATAAAGAAAGACAAAATATATAGTTTTCATCATTTTTTATTAAATGTTTTGCTTTATTCAATCATTTTAAATGATTCATGATCAAATTCTGATTCACAAAAAATAAAAACACCAGTAGAAAATACACAAAGAGGTAATTTAGTTTTGATGATGATGAAAAAATAAACAGTACATATTTTAGTGTTCTGTCACTGACTTTAAGAAGGCCCTTTCAAAATAATTTGATTTATAAAAGAAAAATCGAAATTTACCTTTACCATTCAGGTTTTCACATCTAATAAAATAATCGACAATGCAAAAGCCACCAAAACTACCTTAACACAAAACCATAGAAAAATATTATATTGCAAATGCAGGTTTTTAGAAAGATACTTATTAATGTAAATAATGTTTTATAAAATCAATCTTTTTTTTTTACGCACGTTAGAGTCAATCACTGATTTTAAAACAGAACAAAATAAATGTTTCAAGAGTTAAAATTTTGCTAATTATACAAAACAGAAGAAACCTAAAATGAGTTAACTTCAATTTTGGCAAGTATACCCAAAATTTTTCCCCTTTATGCCATATACACTTTTACCATAAGATATCTCCCCGACACCTCTCTAGATTACCCCACAGTTTGCTCTGAGTTAGAAATTACAACAAATAACAAAATGCAGAATAAACAAATCAATGAACATATCTTTCTATTTCAGGGGTAGACGCTATCAGCTAAATATGTTTACACATCAAAAAATAGATCCAGAAAAGAAGAAACAAATTTGAGGAAAAAAAAAATAATCCAGAAATACTTATATCAATGAAAATATTAGAAACTAAACCAAAAGAAACAAAATATATCTATCCCCCCCCAAAAAAAAAAAAAAAATTATGATGACAAATAATTAAGAAAATAAAAAACAAGTTAAAATATAAGAATATGCATACAAATATGATCACCAGAATAATTACATTATTTCATTTGCATAGCTTAAATCACAGTGTAGATTGCACAGTAGAAAACACACAAACACACCAAACATTAGAAATGATCACACACAATGAAAGACTTAAATTGAAAGGTGATTTCACCTAATGATAATAACAATAACATAATATTCAATTCATGCAAGACAGATTTTTAGACCTCCATTTTAAGACACTGCTTCCTCTCTTTGTACAGTAAACTAGTGGTAAGAGGATAACATTTTAACTGCCATAATTGATTTACACGCATATCGTCTAAAAGCTATACATATCTTTGATAAAATGAATTCTATTGTACAGTTGAAAGACAATTTTTAATTTCAGACTTAACATGATGACAAAGAAACAAAACATGGAAAATACTCAATCATACTTCATAATAATTTGTCTTGAATACAATGACACACTTCAAGGGTTATCCACCCTTTGTAATAAGGGGATTCGTGTGATAGCAGGAAAAAAATCACAGAAACAGGAATTGGACAAATAAGAAGTTATGTTTTGAAAGATGAGATCACAAAATCAATGCGAAACCAACATTTGCAATTAGGCCAGTAGATTACGGCGTATTCAAGGACAACTCTCCTGCTTTTGTTCACTAAAATATTATTAATATCATTAATATCTTTCTCGTTAACTCCTAACTGTCTTTTCACTCGAGGCATTATTCAAAATATATCATGGAAAGCATCTTCAAAATGAATGAAGTCTATACCAAGTAAAAATTATGTATAGTGATTACAACTTAATTAAGAAAACTCAGAGATTTGTTAAATGCTTGACTGTTTGACTTCATTCAAACTATCATCAGCCTTTGTCTCTCATTTTACTGCTTTCTTTCAGAGAACTTGCTAATAAGGTTGTATTTCCCTTTTAAATTACACATACAGGTATATACTACATACATTTTAATTAATATAAAACATCTATGTAGTGCATACAATATATTATAATTTTTTTCATTATAATGATGATATACATTGAAATTTAAAAAATACATTTCCATTCATCAAAAAGTGTAAATAGAAAAACTGTCATTACAAAAATGGTAGTGTTACAAAAAAGTAAACTGTAGTATATTATCTCTATATTTGCAGACTCCTAAATATCTTTTGGCAGGAAAAATTAAGAATCATCAAGGCGCATCAGCAAATTGTCAACCTGTACATGAATGTATGTCTACATTTTGTAGTAAACATTTGGTCCAAACTAATTGATCCACCATGCATTACAAATGGAATGATTAGCCCAACAAAGTCATTTCCAAATAATTAAGATGAATGGTACTACCAAAAAAAAAGAATAGCAAGGAATACAGACATACTAGTTAATAAGTGCTGTTAGCTAACAAGGAATTTTCAGCCACCAAGGTACTGGATAAATAAGGATACCTTCCAGCTAGGTGAAGTGACTACTTCTTTATGACTTTTTATGAGTTTTCAGGTACTCTATGACAGGATATAGTGCTTTCAGTATCCTTACATTTCAAAGTCCTTCACCTTTGGGTACATTATCTATGGATCGGTGGATATCAAATAACTCATGACTCTTTGTAGTTACCGGTAGCTCAAAAGATACTTGATGATGTGACTTGAATCAGTCTCACTTGCTCTAGTTAATAGTGGCTAACAGGGTACATGTATTTGTGGCTATCGAGGTGCTTTACAATGCGACTAAGTCTGTCTGACCTTTTCAAGGTACTCTATAAAAGGATACTGAACTATCTGCATCCTTACATTCCTAAATTCTTCACCTTTTGGAACATTTTCTATGGCGAGGTGGCTAGCAAAAAACTTGTGACTATTTGTAGGTACTGGTAGCTCGAAAGATACTTGATGATGTGACTTGAATCGGTCTCACTTTGTCTCGTTCAAAATGGCTAACAGGGTACATGTCCTTGTCGCCATCGAGGTGCTTTACGGAGGTGTGAGTTAGTCAGCTCTCTATCTTCCCCTACAAACTGGCTCAGGCAACCCTGGTTCGAAACTGAGTCATGTCTTTCGGATGGTGACGTTAAAGGTCGGTCCCCAGATGTAAAAATTCATACCTGCTTGATACACGTCTGTAAAAACCCAATACACACACAGTGCTTGAAGATGTAACTAAGGGGCCCTCACCTTCTCTAGGTACTCTATGCATGGGTACTGTACCTTGAGTATACCCAGGTTCCTCAGACCTTTCACTCCATACAGATGAAGAGTCTTGAGCCTGCCAATACAAAGATACACAACAATTATGACTAAGATATATTTTCAGTTAATTTACATCTTCAAAATATAACAAAATATTCCAATGCAAAGTACTAGGAAATAACCCCAAGAAATATGTATTTATGGGGTAGTTGCCATGAACAATCGCATACCATCATATACATGTACATTCATGGTGAAGTCAAGCAATCTTTCTTCAACCAGGAGTAAATACAATTTCAGAAAAAAGCCCATAATATCTAGGTACAAATCAGAAACTTTTGCATAAATAAGTTTTTATTCTTTCCACATTCTGATTTTAAATGCCTGAACTTTTGTTTGTGGACCACAGTGATTGGCAGCCATACAAGGACCATTTTACTTACTTCTTGCAATGCTTGAGTAGTCGTATTATGCTTGCCTCTGTGATCTCTCTACAGCAATTCAGCTTCAGCTCCATGAGGGTTTGACTGGCATAACTGGCTAAGGAGGACACACTGAAAGGAAAACACATGTAATTAGTAATTAGTGATGGTTATTTTATCTGACTGCTAACAAAGCATAAATGCTTGTTATTAAGCAACCAGAAGACCAGCGGCTTTTGGTCCTCTCCGAGGGACCTGGTAATGAGGATTAATGCCTTACCAAAGGGCATTAGCACATCGCCTTGGTTTTAAATCCGGGTCACCGGATAACGAGACCACTGCCCTACCAACTGAGCTATTGCACCTCTTGGACCCCTTTGAAACTTGGACCCCTTTGAAAAACAGCTTATAGCTGACAAGGGCAATCCATCCCATGAGTGGAGAATAAATAAATAAATAAAATAAAAATAAATAAATAAAGATATAACAATTCAAGACTTGTGACTGATATTGTTTTCAAGTCATGTAAATCCTAATCATGAATTGACTGGTTGAGCACCTGTCAAATGTTATGTAGAGGTGTTGTGGTCTAGTGGACATGTCACAGAATTGTGAACCACAGGGGATCAGGTTCGAATCCCTGTCTCAGTATGAATGTCCTTTGTCAAGGCATTAATCTATGTTTGACAAACTCCACACGGGTGAGGTAAATGGGTACCTGTCGTGAATTAATTCCAAAAAGTGCTAGTGTGCCATATTATCAGTCATGCTAAGGCTGGGGTAATAATCAAGGAGTGCCAGGAGTGTCCAGTCTAACAAACATGAGTGTTATACATGAACTTTAATTATTTATATCATTATCATTATATGTTAAGGAAGTGTTCCAAGTCACTACAGCTTGAGGCATAGGAGAAAGAAAATTAAATCCATGAACATGTCAGCTCTAACATACACAGGCCTTCAATAAACAAAATGATAACTGGATTTATAAAGCACCAGGTTCTCTCCCTTAGTCAACGAATGAATTAAGAAAAATTGTACAGTATGATTTTTTTCTTTTGTGTTTCTTGTTTAAAGAAAAACCTGCTATGTACTACTGACTGATGATGGCAGATAAAAGAAATTACTTCCAAATTCAATTCATTCAATTCAATTCAGAAATGTTTTTTTATTATTGCACAAACATGGTTCATACAAATACAATTTTACATGAAAGACAGCCATGGCTGGAATATTCAGGTTTACATGTTGGGCAAAATAGATAACACTTTTAAACATATATACATGTCAAAAACTAGCAATACAAAAAATAGGACCAAAATAAGTCAACTAGAGGTTTTCTTATCATTAACAATTTGATGCCATAAGCTCGAGTATATAAATCATACCTCTTGTGCGTGACTGATGTTGAGCTTAGTCCAACCTTCTCCAAGTATGGACAGCATGTTGCTAGGCAACGCATCCCTTCGTTCCCGATCTTACGGCAACCAGAAGCATCCAGGCTCCTATTGAGAACAAAAAGAATTGAAAAAAATTCATATTATGACTAAAACTAAGATGAAAGAATCGATCTGGAAAGAACATAGTGGGAGCCCCATAGCAGCACACTAATAGAAAGTCAAATGAAAGGAAAGACAAGAAGAGGCTGACAGAAAAAGCAGTGGTCTGACAACATTAAGGAATGGACTGGCCTCACATACACAGAAACAGACAGAAGTGGAGGGAAGTGATCAGAAGGAGTGCAAGGGGGTGTCTCACAAAGACTAAGATCGACTTTAAGTTGGACTTAACTATGGCAGGCTGTTCATGCCACTGTTTGCTCTAACCATTTACTGGCATTGATCTCTCAAGGGACGTACAAAATTAATCATGGTCACAAATCTACAGAATTTACATTATTTGATCATTCATTATGGAAGCAAAAAATATTATCTAAAGATCGTGAATGGTGAGAGCAAACAGTGGTGTGAACGGCCTGCCATAGTTAAGTTCTACTTAAAGTCGATCTTAGTCTTTGTGAAACACTCCCCAGATGTGGTTGCCAATCACCAGCTAATGATGGATGCAGCCAGGCAGCTAGGTAGGTAACCCTATGCTATTCAGGTATGTAGCAATCTCAATTAGTGAGACATTGGTGATATATTTTGCAATCTCATTCTAGTGCCCCAACATTTGCTTCGGTATCAATAGCTCCAGGCTTTAATTCATCAAAAGTAAAGGATTATGGAAAGGGTCTCCATTGGGTTTTTGGTGATGCTTAGAGTCAGTGTTAGGTATAGCGTTGGGTCTAAGGTTGAAGTTAAGGAATTTGATAAGTGTTGAAAATGTTGTAGTTGAGCGATTAAGCACTTTACTTGAAATGCAAAGGTCGTGGGTTCAATCCCTGACACGGCACTAATGTCATCTAGCAAGGCATCAATCTACATTTGCCCCTCCATACCAAAGAGAGAAATGGGGACACGGTAGGATGACAAAATCATCCATGTATTTTCTCACGGTGACCAGATGGAAGGAATACCCCTCTAGGAGTGGAGATGGTGCACATTGTGCATGAATGGATCCAACGGCCGGGGTAATATTATCTGTAAAGCACTTAGAGACGATATTTCGAACTAAGCGCTACATAAATCCAAATTATTATTTAAAAGTATAGGCTTTCAGTCAGGGGTAGCATTTTGGTTATTTATAGTGTTGGATCCACGTTTAATTGTTGCTAGTTCGGACAAAAATAATGGCTGGTCCTACCTATCAACACGTCATATATGCAATTCACATTCTGACTATTGAAATACTATTATTTGTAACAGGTTAATGAAATAATTTGTAACAAGGCACTTAACAAAAAATTGGATTACATTACGAACACAGAAGTAAGTGTTGTACAGCCTCCTTACCTTATACTATTCAGGTACGTAGCGATCTCAATCAAGGAGACATCAGTGACATGTGGACAGGATGCAATGGACAGGGTTCTGAGCTTCTTGCAGTGCCTGGCGATCTTCTTGACAGCAGAGTCTCTCAGCTCCTTGACGCCCTTGAGCTGCCAATGTTGTAGGGATTGGAACTTGGGCGCGACTGAAGCAACACACTCATCAGTGATCTGCCAATATGTAAAATGAAATGATTTCAGAGTTAAAGGTAAAGACCAGTATTGGAGACGCCCCAATTTCAAAAAATGAAATGGAAGCTCTTATTACCAATCATGTGAAAGAATATGTTTTGACTAATTCATGATGATAAAAAAAATTCCCGGGAAACCGCCTACTAATTGATATATTTGGTAAATTAGTTTATCTATTGGTGTGTGAGATATAAACGCACGTGTGCGTAGTCCCATATACATCTTTCTGTGTACAGTGCTTGTAACTGTACGAAGACTGGGCCAAATTTATTATCATTTTGATGATTCCAGAACCTTGCGGTACACACCAATACTTATATGCTAGATGATCAACCTTTTCTGGTCGGTTCCACAATGTTTCTTTCACAATGCAATCGCATGACCATTACTGGCCTTTACCTTTAAATTGATTTTAAAATGTAATTTTACTTGCTAATAATGCAATATGATTATCTGGTCTTTATCTTTAAGCATGTAGTGTATAACATACATCTGGAAAACAGAGAGGAGTATAAATTAAAGACGCATAGTAGTCGGCTCTCATGGGAAATTCGACACCGTTCAGGTGTTTACCTTATAGCAGGTGTTGTCAATCACCAGGTTTAGCCTTCAGTTTTACGTCCAAAATGCCTTATGTAATGCTTTGTATTTCCTCATCCATTCCTCCACAAGGTAGAGTCATTATCTCACTTTTCCCTCACCCCAAGACTCCCTGAGAGACGAAAAGGGTATTTCTTGAAGGACCTACAGGTTCGCTGTGTGCAGACTTGTTAACACATTGACTGTATTTCCACCAAGTCTGGTGTCAGCAAATTATGGCCTTCTGCACATGGAAACAGACTCAAATTGTGTGATGGGTATGAAAAGAACAAACAAAATACCAGAAAATACTGACCAAATGAAATTAGTATTTTGGATTATCATACCTTGTAGCATTGAGCGATGTTAAGAGTCCTAAGATGGTTGCTTGTGTCAGCAAGATGTGTCAGGGTCTGAGGAGAGAGATTGAAACATCCACACAACTCCAATACCTCCAGACTGCAGGAAAATAGCAAGAAAGAATGCATGCATAATCTCATTAATTGAATAATCATTGAAAGAAAATGAGCAATGATGTCAAATTTAATTGATTTTTGTGATTAAGTTAATGTACTGTATTTCTGTTTTGCTTTCCCTATAACCTCCAAAACCAGACAAATTTAATAAAACATGATCAGTAGAAGCAGTATAAGTAAGGAAAAAAAAATAAAAAAAATAAAGGAATCCTGCAATCTCTTCCAATCTCACAAGAGCTGAATAAAATCACATGTTGGGTGTAGATCTATTTTATCAAACATTTTTGTTTTATTATCTTTTAATTTTTACCAATACTTTATCACATCCATGACATTGACCAAACAAGGTTAGCAATTTTTTGTAGATGTAAACTGCAAAGAAAAATCTGTCTCTGGCTTTACTTGCTTTAGGGCACAGAAATTTGCTCCACAACAAATACATGTAGACATGAGCAAGTGGTGGCAAACGTATGAAGTCTAGCGCCATCTTGTGTGCATTTTCTTAGAAGATTCCCCACATCGATTTTTAAATCAAGTTGCTTGCAGATCTGCTTGGACGCTGCAAAATAAAAGGCACATCTTCTGTTTTCCCGATAAATTAATTTTTCACACTGAATGAAAACAATGATAAAAGATAAAATATCTTACTTGGATCCATATTTGTTGACGATTTGACGAAGGCACTGATCTGATACAGACTGACATCCATTCAAGCAAATAGTCTCCAATCTGTGAACAGGGAAAAGACAGAAAATAAATCATTTCATTTGCTGCAATACTGTTTGCACTAACTACTGGCATTACAGTAGTTTGGGTTAGGATCAAGTTCAAACACAGAATGAATATTTCATTTTTAGAATGTTCAATCAATTTTCAAGATCAAATTTGAAACTTTCAAAAATTGTCTGTATGATAAGCATAATTTCTAGGCTTGTTTTCCTGTTTTCTCAAAGTAGATTCCGAACTACCAAATTAATTGTACCTACTGTGACCCTGATATGATATACACTAAATAAACATTGAACCCTATGACCTCTGACCTTTGCTTTACCTTGGACATTCATAGAGTATATCAGAGAGACCATTGTCAGTGACAGAAAACCAGCTAGCATCCAAAGAGATCAGATTGTATTTTGACTTTTGATAAGGGTACTCTGACCCCATGACCTCTGACCTATGACCTTTGTTTATCTGCCTAGGGCATCCATTCAGTATAGCAGAGAGACCGTTGTCAGAGACAGCAAAACAGCTAGCATCCAGGAGATAACATAATTATTCCTCTACCCAGGCTTATTTTAGGTATTGATGATAAACTTTATACATGAATACCTTGACCCCTATGACATCTGACCCATGACCCTGCTAACCTTGGACATCCATCCAGGGTAGCGGAGTGCCCATTGAAAGTCAGAACATCCAAGAGCTAAGGACATATTGGTATTAGCATGGACTTGCTATTAGTATAAAGGACAAACTATACAAGAAAGAGTACCTTAAATTAGTATAGCAGAGAGACCATCGTAAGTTACAGCAAACCAGCTAGAATCCAAGGAGATTAGGTAATATTCCTCCACTCAGACTTGCAATTAGTATTGACGTTAACCTAATAACTTGACCCCTACGACCCTTGATCCATGACCCTTTCTTAACCTTGGGCATCCATCCAGGATAGTAGTGAGACCATTGTCAGTGACAGCACACCAGTTGGTATCCAAGGACATCAGATTATATTCCTGAATTCGGTCTTACAATTAGGGGTACTTTGACCCTACATGTATATAACCTCTGACCCATGACCCCTGCTTACCTTGGGCATCCATCCAGGATAGCAGAGAGACCGTTGTCAGTGACAGCACACCAGCTGGTATCCAAGGAGATCAGGTTGAAGCATCTGGAGACATGGAGCAGGATGGAATCTCCCTGGAGCTCTCCCTTGGAGCACCCTGTAACGTTCAGCTCCTAAAAACAAAAAATAAAGAAAAAGTTTTCAAAATGGATAAACGTCAGTCTGAAGATGCCTGCATCAACGAGTAGGCGAAAGTCCCAAAGGTAAACAACTTTATGATTGTTAAACAATGAAAATTCAATTTACTAAATAATCCTTCCAAACAGCCAAATTGATGAAGAAATCATTAGTTGTTCTTGCATTTCCAACGGTTATATATAACCTCCATTTTCTTTCACTTTGTTGTATATGCATCTGCATGAAAATAAATCAAGTTGTGATCAAGTGTAAGTGAAGGTATTCAATTTCCTATTCAAATACCTTAAGAAAAAATGTATGTAATTTCAGCACTTTTCTCTATTCTTTACATCACAACTTTCACCCCCTTTTTATTGACATTGCTGTTGTTTTCGCCCTTTTCCTTTTTCAATCTAAACATCTTCTTCAACAATTTGTTTTAAAGCCAACCCAGATAGAGTTCAGATTCAAGACTTCTGTAGATACACACCTGCAATGAATCCGCACATGACCTGAAGAGATTGCGCAATCCATTCTCTGTGACGAGATTACCGCGGCACTTATGAAGCGTCAGACTGACAGGGTGCTTCTCTCCTATGTAAGTCAGATAGAAGTCCGTCAAATCTCTGTTCTCCAATCTAATGGTTCGCCCTGTAAGTGGGGAAAATAGATAACTTGAAGCTCATTATCTTGAGTTCAAAAAGACAACTTCAGTTTATTGGGCATACATGTATTATGAGCAGAGAATCTAATGATCCAAGAGATATTTGATATAGTGCCTTTTCCTTGCGGTTACAAAGCGCTGCACACACCGCTCCACAGTGTTTGGGCCACTTATAAACAAAAGTTAGTCACTTCTCAGAAATCATTAAGTATGATATGTAGGCAGGTAATACGGTAATTTCTAGCAGAATAGATGTGACTTGAGGAATTTCTCCAAGTAGTCAACAGATGAGGCCGTCTGCACAGCAGTAGGTAGCTGGTTCCACAGTTTTGCAGCAACCGATGGGAAAGACAATTCACCAGCACAGAAAACAGAAAACAGGATACTGACAGGAAAAATTGAGGGAAAGAGAAGTTGAGGGAGACATGGCATCAAATACATTATACATGGATACTTTCATTGGGCTGACTGGTAACAGAAGCAACCTCAAATTACAAAGAACCAGAGATAGACTTAGATGGAAAGCCTTGATCCCCAATGTCTGGAGCAGACAAGGCACCAAGCAGAATCTTGAGTTTGAGAGATGGCGCTGTATTTTGAGTGAAGCTACTACAGACTTGTGGTTATTGCAATAACAAATTGTAAACCAAGCTTTGGTAAAGAAATTGGGTAAAGAAATTATCACATTTACCGAAACCCTTTTTTATGGTTTCATTCCTCCACAAACAGTTTGGGTGATTAGATCAATTTTGGGGGCTGATTATTCAGACATTATACGATGAGAATACTGTATATAAATTCAAACAGAAAAGCTCAGGCAAAAATCATTCGCATACAGTATAGAACAGTCGATGCAGCTTTGGTTTGAAATTTCATTTTGTCATCTGTAGAACAACTCTTGAATACCTAAAAAGGACCTTTCCTTTGAATCGAGTTTAATACTCAATGATAGAAACAGAGATATATATATATATATATATATATATATACATGTTTCAAAGGCAAATGGACAAAAAGTGAAATAGACAAAGGCTAAAAGAGAAAAGTAGAGACATAAAAGAGAGAGAGAAGAGAGAGGGAGAGGGCAAGAGAGGAGAGAAAAAGAGAGAGGAGAGAGAGAGAGAGAGAGAGACAGACAGAGAAATGAGAATACAATTACTTACACAGAGAGTCGTCCATTGCAATCCTATGGAAGCGTTGGCATGTCAGGGCACACATGACTAGCTTGTGTTGAGGAAGATAAGAGAAGATGTGTAGCAGAATCTCATCAGGTAGCAGCTGCCAGATGGACAGAGATTCAGAACCTCTAGGACTCTTAACAAAAAAAAGGGAAAAAAAAAGAAGAATAATAATAGGTCCACTTATATAGCACAGCTACTATATGAATATATTCTACACCACTTAATACAAAGTATCATATTATAACCGCGGCTGTATCCGAGCCGCCACAATAAGGCGCTAAAGCATTAAAGTAAATTCTTTGTACCGCATACGGTACCCATTTCTTCCTCTGAGTATGGGGTGGCAAATGTAGGTTATGGCCTTGTCAAAGGACACACATACTGTGTCGGGGATCGTTACCATGACCTTTGTATTTCAAGTTAAGTGCTTAAACCACTTAACTATAACACCTAGCAAGTGACTGCATTCAACCAATCACTTGACTATGATCTAGGAGTGAGATGCAAGTATAATATTCTTTAAAGTGGGACTGCACTACTTGTAGCTACTTGCGCCCTGTATACTGTGCATCCCCCCAAAAAACTATACACTTTTGATATGGCTGCCGAATAAAAAATATATGATTCCGGGGGAATCCTGCTCTTTTTATTGTAGCATTGTAACTTTCCCTGGTAGACTCAGTGGTGTGTTCATGCTAGTCAGCATGGGGTGATCGTACATGTTGTAATTTCCATGTTACAAACTGTTAGTTTTTTACATCTGTGACTTTGAATAAAAACCTTTACCCCACATTTCAATTATTGTAAGATTACCGTAGTTGAACATCTCATTGATTTACCTAATACCCAGGTAGGGATTACGTAAATTGAAGATTCAAATACGGTTTGTTGAAAAAAGGAATGTCCAAGATTCTGAGTCTACCAGGGAAAGTTGCAATGTACAATACAAAATGCAATTCCTGTTCACTCATGCATAAAAGTTTGGTTTTTAAACCATGAAATTCACTCAGCAAATCATGAATGTATCATATCACCCTCAACTTTGTAAGCTCCAAAGGATTTACCTCTCACAAATTTGAACTTAGAAGGCTAATCCTGCGCAACGTAATTTTCATACTCTTTACAAAAGTGAGCAGTGCTCACCCAAGCATGAATTATTTTGGGACTTTTTTGGTGTCATATGAAAGTTGTGTTTATGACTTTCCATACATAAACAACTTTCCCCCCAGAATCATATATTTTTTATTTAGCAGCCATTTCAAAAGTGTATAGTTTTTTGGGGGATGCACGGTATAGCCAACAATGCTTTGATGAGATAACCACCTGTCAGTGACCAGGCAGGGAGGTATAATCCCTCCTGGCCAAACTAGTGCATATAGGCTTTAATATGTGATGTCACAGTGATGACCATGTCTTACACATATCTTCTTTAGAGCTTGTTTACATATTTATATTGCTACTCACATCTTGAATGAGTTGTAAAGTTAACGGAGGTACGCCAACAGATCCTCTTCCGTCGAGCACTCGTGATACGGTTCCATCTAGAGAAAGAGAAAAAAATTAAATGATCGCAAGTATAAAGTGGGATACAGAAACTTGCAAACATTGAAAACAATACATTTTTAACTACTTACATGTACATGAAAGGTCTATCATTTCTGAGTTCTTAGCTGCATAATTCAATTTACATTATAAGTATTCATATTCCTTTCAATATTCTCTTTTAGAATTGGAGGTTATTTCTTTGAGATATTCAAATCTAAACATGTGTATCGTCCCCTACCCCTTCCCCTTTTTTTGTGCTGTGAAAATTCAAACCATTTACTTTTCTTCCTCCCATCATTCAGAGATATACTCCATGTATTGAAGTTGTATATTTAAATAGAAAAAAATACATTTATAAAAAACCTCCTTTTCTCTGCTCTACAAAATAGTATTATGGTGCCAGTATTTTGCTGTTAAACTACAATAAACATTTAGAAACTTGGTCAGATGCATTTCAAGGTATTATACTACAACCATATGAAATGACAGACCAGGATATATATATATATAGAGTTCGCATACAGGTACAAATTAGTAACTCTACTGTGTGAATAATAAACTACCAGTATATATTGCTCACATCAATGTTGCTTACCAAATAACTTAGATGACCTTACTGTGACGAACTCGCCATCCCTCCTGGACATCTGAACTGCGACCGGAGGCTTGCTCTTTCCAGCAAACTCTCTGTTGACCCTTGACTGGCTAATCTTGACCTTTGACCCTGAGGCTGAAAGGTCACTGGCGGATTGGTCACCTCCAATGAGACTTGAAGTGAGTTTATGTTGAGTCATCCATGCCATGCTGGACTGAGGCCACTTCCTGTCGTAACTCTTGTCCGGGGAGGAGTACATCTTGGAATGGGCACTGGTGGGGCGATTGCTACCTGGTTTCTTGGTGGCAGTTTTCTTGGGGTTTGCACTGCTTGGTCGGGGTTTGCTTGCCTTGTTGATATCCTGTCTCCGGTCTTGAGGGTCTCTACTGTCTTGACGCACCGTGAAGTTTACTCCGTTCTGTCCGATGATATCACTCACAGTGTCTTGGCTTTCGAGGGCCACACTTCTTGACGCTGCAGGAGGGTTGAAGTTTGAAATTCTGTCCAGGACTTCATTCACATCTTCCAAGGGTGCTTCACGCCTAGGCGAGTGATTAAATGGGGCTCCAACTTCAACGTCTAAAAGGCTATCACCAAGACTGTCCCCAAGGTGGACGATTTCTTCAGCACCAGGTCTATCAGTATCCATGTTGGACGGTAAGCTTAGTCTCAGAGAGGATTGGTTGTCACCAGTTGATGAGGACTCAGATGCTAGATTGCTTACTGGTGACGCTATAGCTCTAGGTGAGGAAAGCTTCCTCATTCTTCTGTCCTTCTCGTGGTAGTTCCTGACTTCATATCTGTGGGCATCTGGAGTCCTAGGACTCTTCCTGGGTCTTGACTTCTGTGGAGAGCTCCGACTCAGCTTTGGAGAACCCCTACTCGGTGTCATCAACCTAGTGTTGCTTGGCTTCGAGGATGGAGGCGGTTTAGGTTGCTTTCTGGCAGATGTCAAGTCCACTTCAAAAGCAATACCATGCTTGGAATTTCCTAGACCTTGATTAGGTTGCGGTACAAATGCAGTGTATGCGTTGGCGCCATTTACATCATTTCCTGTGTCTTGAGGATCAAAGACGAATGAGACACCGTACTTGGAGCGCTGAATTTGGGAATGGAACGGAGTGTTGACGTTGGGATCTGCAATATCACCTTTGGATGGCTCTTCAGACATATCATAGGTTCTCCTTAAAGCTTCAGTTTCGGACCTTGCAGGTCTTGAAGCTGTGGGCATATCCAATACTTCTTCAATGAGATCCGGAGAGTCTACATAGCTGGTTGTCAAAACACCCACCTTGCTGTAAGTGTAGTCTCTCACTTCCTCCAGTGGCAAAACGATCCGACTGTCCGGACGGAAAGTTTCAAGACCAAGATCTGAATCATCCAAGGTTCCATTGGCCAGCTTGAAGCCAGCATCATCAGTTGAAGAATCAGCACCATGACTCACCAGAACCGAAGATCCTCCAAGCTGACCTCTCTGAGGATTTGTGAAGGATGTATCGTTGGTATCGAACAGTCCAAGCTTTTCTAAAAGATCGGCAGTTACTGATGGTTCTCTGACCTTACTAACAACACTTGCATTATCATCCTGAAAGCTCTCTTGAACATTAAATGCTCTCTGATCAAATTCCATTTCCTTATCTTCTAGACTCACACTGTCTTTTTGATAATCATTTGTTGCTTCAAAGCTGACTGATGGTTCTGTGTCTCTATATCCTGTAGAATCTTGGGCAGAACCAAACAGATTTTTATATGGAGCATGATCTGGGGAGGGCACTGAATTATCAGAATGATGGTCATGATCCATCTCCACAAATCCATTCCTTGAGGCATTCTGTAAGTTTACCTTGTCTTCAACAAATATGGGTTCTACTTCTTTCTTCTTCATATAGTCACTCTCACTGTACAAAGCCGAATAACTCTGCTCTGCTGGAGGTACTGTCACTTTTGCATTTACAGAAGCAACTGTCGTTTTCTCATCAAACTTTCTCTCTGGCATCTTTGGAGCAAACAGAGAATCAATCTTTCCAGAACTTCTTGTAGGACCCTCTCCAAGAACATTTTCGCTGGGATTACTCTCTTTGCCTTTCTTTGCCTTGACCTTCTCCGTCAGTCCCTGGATGTATTGCCTCAGTATGTCATCTCCTTGCTTGGCAGCATTGCACAAGGCACCAACATCAAAATTTAGATCGTCCATCTCTACCCCGCTCTCCTCCCCTTCATCCTTGTTTGTTGCTACATGATCATCAATATCACGCCTCCCATCAGTAGGAATTGACTCTACCCTAACATTTTCCTGTTTCTCCTGCTGGGTTGCCCAGTAAGCAGAGACATCATCTGATGCTGATGGAATTGAAGACAATGCCTTCTCTTGTTCCGTTTCATCGGTGCATTCTTCATGTTCATTGTCCAATTCTACTGATGTTGTGTGGTGGAACTTCAACAGAGCACTGTCCATCTCCACCTCGTTTCCATTAAGGTCTGGTCCTCCCCGGTTCAGTATCTGATCTCTTGGTCTAGAACTATTCCTTTTACGAGTGAGTATCGACTCATAGCCATCATTTTCCAGAAAGGATGACAGGAGTTCGTCGTGCAGTTTGGCTTTGACCTTGCGGCTACCAAGCAAGGACTGGAGCATGTTCTCTGCCGAGTACGCACTGTGAAACTCGGATGCCTGTAGTGCCTCGCTTTCGACCTTTGAACCCAACTGTGACCGGACACGCCTTGATATGCCATTCTCCAGGCTGGCCTTACTCCTCGATCCATATGGATCATCCCTGTAGGGTCTGCTCTCTGGTACTACTTGATGGCTCTTCGCTTCATTCCTAAAGAAATTGTACGTCCTGGGCCCTCCTGCATCTTGTCCACCTTCACTAGAAGATGGGGACAGGTCGTTGCCAGACTGTTGCCGAATTTCACGTAATCTAAAGAAGTCTTGCAATTCACGGTCACTAAGCCTACTCTTACTCCCAGATGTTTCTTTCTTAGCATAATGTGAGCTCACATGGGTTTCTTTCCTAAAATCCGCAAATTCAGACTGTCTCCTAGCATTCTCATTATCACTTCTGTACGCACTGGCTGTTGATGGTCTCTGGACAGCGTGGTCAGTAGTTGGATCCCTCTGAGGCCTCTTGGGTCTGGCACCCGCTTTGGCGCTAGAAGGCCTCAAATTAGATCCAGTAAGCCTTGCACTGTCTGCAATGTCTAACCTGTATTGGTCGCCATGGGCAGAGGGAACCGCACTTGATGGTCTGTTCTTCTTTCGTCTAAGAGGCGTCACATTTGCGCAGTCATCGCCCGAAGGACCTGGAGGATATCGGAGACCTTGTCTGGGGACACCTGATCGTGCAGAAGATGGACGGCCACTCCTAACACTCAATCCACTTGCTGTTAATCTGTCATCTCTTCCATTATCGTGAGTTATTTGTTGTCTGTAAATGTGTCTACTTCTATCTTTTTTATCCCTCCCTATTTTTGTTTTATCTTTGTAAGGATTCTTTGACGGGCTCTTGGCTCGGTAAACTGCTTCCTCTTGAAGTTTGGGTGGATGAGAACTTGAGCCCTGATTCTCAAAGTACGCTAGCCTCTTCTCCCTCACTTCTCTCCTCAGCTTGGTTCTTGATGTCTCCATTGCTCAATCCATTCAGTTACCTCTCCTATTCCTAAAAATATGCAAAATATGCAAAAAGAGAAAAGAGACATTAAACAAGGAAGGGAATTACATATATGTACAAACTTTTGTCTCCGAGAATGAATTCAATTTATCAAATGAAATGCAGTGCATATGCTTTTTGCAAAGGGCAAAGTCATACCACCCACACAGGCGCGCACAAATGTTTGTTGATATTTGATATTCGATATTTAATATATGTGGCATGATTAATTTTGTTAGGGATGTTATTTGGATCTGCAAAGACCGAATTAATACCCAAATCTAAATTGTTTTATTCAAACATCACATAAGCAACTTTGGCGCAAGTCGATTTTTGCACTCTCGCAAACAATGCCTCCTGTTCATCCAAGCGTGAACACATACCACACAAAAATGGTACTAAATGATTTGGAATAAAACACTCTTTCATACGATGTATAATAATTTACTGTTCATAGATGATTTTTAAAATAATTACAAATTGTCTAGGCGTAAACTTTTTTTTGACTCACTCTGTATGGATCAAATTTGACAAATAATATATAAATACAGATCTAGATCTCTAGGCCATCACAATTCACATTCTATTTCTTACTTTTTGTTTACGCATATATCAATCATTGTCCATTGTCAGCCCGCCCCCTTTAATACAAAGTTGCCCTCAATTGGTCATGTCGCCCCAATTTATTTTTTGGCGATTTTGGGATTCTCGGTCAGCGCGCGCTCGCCCCAATTTTTTTGGTCATTTCGCCCCCTAGTGTGTTGTTTAATTTGATGTCTTTTACAAGTTCAAAGTCACCCTAACCTTACCCTTACTCTAGCCCTAACCCTAGCACACCGGGCCCCGTCTGACCCTAAAGACAGCGGGTCCCGCGTTGGGTGCACTGCCGCGCTAGCATACTGCTGTAGCGGCTCTTACATTCGCCCTACTTTCACCGTACATTCATGTCACCAGTATTTTTCCATCACGGTACTTATTTATATTCATTATTCGGACCACGTGTGTTCATTCCTCCAATCGAGCATCGTGGTTCCGCGCATCGTTCACCCGCGTATTTTCATCACCACGAGGTTTTCTTCACTCCCGCTTACACCTCGGTCGAGTCAACAACTCCTGCTTACATCTCAGTTGAGTCAACACGTTTCTGCATGATTTCTTCTCCGGGCTTGTTTTCTACTGTGCCTATCACCTCTATCGGCACATCTTCACTTTCCCTGCCGTGTTCATCGGGCTGCAGTCTTCCAGTGGAACAGTTAAATCTAGTTCCGACATATATGGTGCTTGGTTATCCGCTGGGAGCTGCCAGTTTCTTCACCGGTAGTCTTTCACTCACTTGAGCTCGACTCACCGCAGCTCATCTAAACATTCACCATCAAAGTTCGGCTCATCAATCGAGCGACTCACCGTCTCAGCACAACTACCGGCTTTGATCGATGTCTGCATTTTCTTCTTTGGCCTCCGACATCAAGCGACTCACTGCTTTCGTCATCGAGCGCCACACATCTCTTCTCTTCTCTTCTATTCTCGCCCGAGAGCTCCATCTACATTCATCATCATCACGAGCGTCGGCGACGACATAGCGTTCTTCACGGTTCTTCAACCACGTCAACGAAGTCGCGTTTCCGCCATCAAGCCTCCGCACATTTCATCGCGTGAGCCCCTTCCTTCGTTCTCAACTCTCTTCATCTTCATTGGACTTTCGACTTCATTTCTTCTATTGTCGTAAGCTCTATTTATGTACATCGCATTTATTCATGTTCATTATCATCATTGATCATTATGTAATCTCCGTGCAATATTCACATTTACCATTTATGCATTTTTCATACCGATTCATCGACTTGTGCTTGACTACACTTTGCAAGTGTACGTCAGCCTCATCAGTACCCAATAAACATAACGAAAAGGGAATACTTTCTTGTATGTATTTTATTGCCAGTGCAACCTTGTTTTCCTCGTAGCTAAAATATAAATAAGAGTTATGTTGTGTGACGAGTGAACACGCTTTCAAATATCCATTCACAATACCTCACACTCATATCTCTAAACTGCCTTTGTAGTACTTGGCCTTGGGGTGTGACCGTCTGTATAGGCGACCCGACCACACAATTTCGGGGAGACTACGTATAGACCCTAAGAGGCGACTGGCTGGGCGACCTGACCAGGCCTGTCACCAATCAATCATTCATTCATTCATTGTCCACGACTCCACTGGCCAAGACCATTATTACTACAATTCACCCCGACCCCATGCCATGGCCATGCACACAATTAATACTGTAGGGTCTAGTCTGACGTTGTACGTCTGTATACTGGTAGATCCATGACAATTAAGTATTAAGTAAGGCTTGGTGATATCATTATCAACATCATATTTCTAAAATCACCAAACCCATAGCCGTACGGGGCGGCTTTACTGGCCAGTATAGTAGTACCAGTGCAGTGTATTTGCGTGCTCAGCTCAGCTCAGCTAGCTCCGCCGCGCTAGGCCGCTTCGCCCCCGCAGACCAAAGAGCAGCGGGAGAGTAGCGGCGTAGCTCAGAGAGCTCCCCTACCACTAGTGCAGTCAGTCAGTCTACAGCAAAAATGACACCGTAAGATCACTGATCAGGTCCAAGCAAGCGCTAGCACGTCGCGAGTTGATTGATCTTAGGGTTGCCTGAACAATACTTATGTCATCACTTACCATTTAATTCATCTGCAGAGTCGTAATAGATGTTTGACTGTTGATATGATGGGCGAAGAAAAATTAATGTACGGGCCAGGCGCCATATATTGTTTGGACGGTTGTTATAGTCGTCCATTCCCACAATGCATTGCATGCGAGACTAATTGATTGACGTGACAGGTGTGTGTATAAACAGCTCCAAAAATATCTGATTCTGAACTATTACCGGTTTCAATATATTTCTTTAGATATAAATGTATGTTGATAAATACATTTAATTTATTTCTTCAGATACTGAAACCGGTAATAAAACTGCTGGATTTGTAGCATGCAAATGCATATTAAATTCTCTTCCTTTGATCTTCTCTCTCTCTCTCTCTCTCTCTCTCTCTCTCTTGTTCTCCATCATCTCATTGTCTCAATTCTTATTCTTTGTCCTTGTATTTGTGCTCACCCGCATTTTGTCTCTTTTAAGCTTGCCTAGTTCTAGCCCTGACCTCCAAAAATCCATTATATTTTCCAAAGGTAAATATAGCTTCCATGTTCACTATATGGAATTCAATTCACCTCCCTCCTTCACTATATGCATACCTATACTTCTTCCTCTTATTCTTCTTTTTGTTCTTCTAAATTCTTTTTCGTCTTTCACCTTCTTCTTCTTTTGTTTATGCTTCTTTCACCTTCTTCTTCTCCTTCCTTACCTCCCCTCCAATTCTTCCTTCCTTCTTCTTTTTTCCCCTTGTAGTTATACTACCTTAATTAGAATTGCCTCTCACATACCTCTTGTTACAGTCTCCTTGCTAAACGAGAGGGGGGGGGGGGGGGGGGGGGGGGGGGTTGTTCATTGTAACATTTAGTATATTTACCCCCTCAAACCAAATATCCATTTTGAGATACGTGCTACTACAGACTGCCATCCCAACCCCCCCCCCCCCCCCCCCCCAAAAAAAAAAAAAATAAAAAAAAAAATAAATAAATAAATAAATAAATAAAAAAAAATAAAAAAATAATAATAATAATAATAATAAAACAAAAATAAAAATAAATAAATAATAAATAAATAAATAAATAAATGAAAAAATAAATTTAAAATTTAAAATTTAAAAAAAAATACAATAAAAGCACCCATAGTAAATGATAAATAAAATGATAGATAAAATAGCAAACATAATGGAATAATGGACTAAATAAAAGTAACTTGACATGGCTTGTATTATTCTGATGTTTTTATTGTATATACCAACCACATACAGCATAGTCATATATATTAAATTCTATTTCAAATGACTCCGTCCTCCTGCATTAGAAATACCAAAACGTATTTCATAACAAGACGAAAAGTACAGAAGAAAACAAATGTACACAAACATATACATTCAAAGTGAAATACCATGGCAATTGTATTAGTTAATACAAATTAATGTCTATTATATTGGTCAAACTTTGAATATAACATTGATAGCAATATTATCTGAACTTTTTCTTGGTATATATATGTTTCAATAGGAAAGAAATGAATTCAGTGGTAGTCATATTCAGCAGTGAAGAGCTTACATGCACATGTATGTTGATATCTCTACCAGTCAATGATCAATCTTTAGCCCAACCAAAACACTCGATCCTCCTGTGATCCCGTGTATCAGATAATTATTATAGTATTAGATATGGAAATCTAAACAAACATCATCTTCCTGATTTAGGTTCTAAATAATGAAAAGAAAGTAACAAATGAAATTATATTGTATTTAACTCTCCTGGTCAAAATAAAAGCACAATCGGCTTCAGATCATAGACAATCCCACTACAAGTCTGAAGTCACTATGATTTTGAGCTGAATTAGCTGGTCCTCCTCACAGAAAATTCAAAATCCTTTGATTTGAAATTTAGATTTCATTATTCATATGACTATTCAGATCCTTCATCATTAAGAATTTACATGCTTTAATGTTAATAACAAATGCTACTACAATTTCTTCTAACATCAAATCGCAGTCGGTTCGCGGAGTGTACTGCACCAGGGGGTGTTTCACAAAGATCCTAAGTAGAACTTAACTCTAAGTTGGACTTAAAAATTATGGAAAGCCATTAGCATCTTTGAAAATATTTGGTAAAAATA